CACTTAACAGTATTTATCCTATACTGATTGACACAAATAAAATTTCTGTCAAAGAGAGCAATAAATAAAGAGCAGCGTACCTTGAAAATAAATGAGTCGCTATTTCTCACTCTTCTACTGCACACTTCCTTTTGAAATCACAAAAGTTAGTGGTCACGAAGAAGTTCGAATCTACAGTTCTCTAGACAACTTTCCCAAGAACTGATGCATGTAAAGCCATCTTCATTTGTAACAACTGTTATAAGCAACAAAAAAAGGAGTTAGAAAACATTCACCGCTGTTGCAGTTACTTGAGTAATTGCTAGGCAATATAGGGTATTTCATTTTCAAAGTATCTTTCAAGATCCTGTCAGAACAAAATTTGTGGTTCAACTTTCCAAACAAGAAACCTTACATGCAAATAATTAAGTGATAGACTTTTGGCATTTTGAAAATCATTTCAAAGAGACGCTATAATTATTAAAACGCTCTAAAAACGAGCTATCCAACGTACTTGTTTGATTAGTGGTCATCAATCGTTTTCTAAATTAAGCACCAGTTTTTTGAAGTGATTTTTGTTTTATAAAGAAGTCTGCTACGACTCCAAAAAACTTTTCCTCATTCAGGCTGTTCATTCCTAGGTTGACCTATAATTATTAATCCAGGAACGAGCTGTCGATCAAAAAGAATTGACGTGTTTTGAGAAAGTCTATATTTCTGGCACACCCGGAAAACTTGTTGTCTCTCTAAGGTGTTCATTTCAAAGGCGGCTTATATTTGCTAGACTACTCTAAGAATGAATTACTTAATTATTGAAGTTCAATCAAAAATCACTAGTAATTCTACTTTGTTTTGGAGGATTCCAACAAATATTAGTTGGTTCTGCAATTAACACTTTGGGCAAACAAAAAACCTCCAGGAAGAGCAAAAAATATAGAGTCGCTAAAAAAACGGCAGGTAACTCAAAAAAAAAAAAAAAACTTGCCTCGACCTAATTTTTGCTAGTTTTTTTTTCTTAACCGGCTGAAAAAAGCAGTTTGAAGTTTTTAGAGTATTAGAATTTTGAAATGACAAAGATGGCTGCACACTTTTGAAAGTCTGAGTTGAATTATTATTCAACAAATTGAGAAGTAAAATCTTGCTGAGTGAAATACAAAAGCGAAAAACTTTCTCAATAAAGGTTTTTTGATTCATAACTCATGGTCAATCAACATGAAGTAAGTATATAACGTTGTTTTTGAAAGAATAAACGTTTTTAGTTAAAAAAAACTTAAATTCACATTAAATTATTAAAAATTTTGCATTAAGTGCTGTGGTTAGTTGCAAATTACTCACGGCATTACTCTTGTCTGTTGAAACTTTACAATCTTTCTAAATTTTTGGCCTTATAGTTGAGGTTTCCTGATCTATCAAAAACATTTTATGAAACATTGAGGTTAACTCTCTTTCATTTTACTTTGCAAAATTTAAATTTTCACTTAGTCTCTCAAGTCAGGCTTTCAAAACCATGCACCATAAATATTATCTCTAAATTTTTGATATACGTAATTCAAGATGACATTTTTCTTGCACTGTTCAAATTTATAGAGAAACTTTATTTCTTTTTTTGCTTCGCGAAAAACCTTATTAATTTTGCTATAATTTTGCTGATCTTAAGTTTTCAATTATTAACTGAAAAATATTAACTTCTAAATCTGGTTGTACAGTTCACTCTCGTTTTTTAGATTTTCATGAAGCTTTGCATTATTCTGCTTACACAAAAAAAAAAACAGTATTTGTGATATAGTCTTTGAAACTTGTACAAATGTTGAATCACTATCGCGTCTGCGAATGATGAACAAAAATAGGTGTTGACAGAATTAACTCTCGCTTATGACAAATAAAGTTATTAAGCTTTGTTTTTCATAAAAAAACTTGCTTTTCAGTACTAAAATTTTGACTGTACTGCTGCAGAAATTGTCATTTTGCAGTGGATAGATACATTTTACTATATTCTCTTCGCAACAGATTAAACTTGCTTAATAACTTCATCTTTAATAAAAAAAAAAACCTGCTTTTCCGTATTAAAATTGTGACTGTACTGCTGCAAAACTTGTCATTTTGCAGTGGATAGATACAGTTTACTATATTCTTTTTGCAACAGGTGAAACTTTTATTCACTTTGTTCTTTAAAAATTATTCTTAAATATATCCTAAGCTATAAAGTTGCTCGCTTTCAAAATAGAATTCTTTGTAATAACGTTTACTCTTTAGTGCAAAATAACCTTGTAAAACTGATAATTTATATGCAAAGACACAAGTTTGTTATTATGTTATCAAGTTTTAGAACCCAAAAAATTGTTGAAAAAATAGTACAGAAGCAGACAATCTCTTACTAAGAACACACAAATGAAGACTGATCAATTGTACTAAAAATAACTCTTAAAGCGTCATTTATAACCATTTGAAACAAATTTAAAATTACAAGGTGGGCTGGGTAGAGAAAAAATTTCATTACAAGCAAAGTTTTCAGAAAATCGACTCATTTACAGTACAAATGACAACGGCTTGAAATCTTTTATTCAATAACTTTAGTTTTCTGTATCATTACGAGAAAAGTTACAAAACAAAAATTAACTGCAGCTTTCCGTTCCAGGTGATTATTTATTTACATCAGCTGTTGTTTGATAAAGCAAAATTACTTTAACTTTTATCTTTGGTCTTCATTTCTTTTGGTACTCATTTTCTTTCACTTCTGGTTCTGAACATTCATTTTTTTTAGTTCTAGTTATAAACGCATACCTTTTGATTCTCCTAATTCTGAATACTCGTCTTCTTCCTCTTCCACTTCTGAGTACTCATTTTCTTCAAGCTTTAGTTCTGAATGTTCACTTCCTTTCACTTCCAATTCTAAATGCTTATTTTCTTCTAGTCCTTGTTCTGAACACTCATCTTTTTTTACTCCTAGTTCTGAGTGTTCACCTTTATCTTTTTCTGATTCTGAATACTCATTTTCCTTCACTTCCAACTCTGAATATTCATTTTCTTTAATTTTTAATTCTGAATGTGCATTTTCTTTGAGTCCAAGTTCCAAATGCTTATTTTCTTCGGTTCTTTGCTCTGAACTATTATCTTCTTTTACTTCTACTCCTGAAGACTCATTTTCTTTCATCCCCAGTTTTGAATACTCATGTTTATTTACTCCTATTGTTGAATACTCATTTTCCTCTCCTTTCGGCTCTAAATATTTATTTTCTTTCAGTTCTTCTTCTATATGCTTATTTTCTTCGTGTCCGAGGTCTGAATGATTATTTTTCTTTACCACCACTTCTGCATACTCGTCTTCTTTCACTGCAACTTCTGAATACTTATGTTCTCTAATTTGGTCTCTTAAACGACTATATTCTTTTTCTTTGGTTGTCGACAGTGATAGTGAATCGGTTCTGACCACTGGATGAATTGTTTCTGTACAATTTGAATTTGAGTTTTGAATCGCTTCTCGAACTTCCGAGATGTGAATTCCCTATAAAAGAAATTTTAAACGCTTCTTTCTATGTCAAGCTTAAACAGTCAAGATGCATTTAAACAATAGTTTAACAACTTTTAACAGTTACATTTGCTCTGAGAATACCTTCTAATTGAGAAACATTAATTTATCTATATTCAACCTGTTGAAAGCCGGTAGCGTTGAGAGTAGCACCCAATTCTTTTAGAAAATCATAAATTTCCTTATGACCGTAAAAAGATGCTACGTCCAATACACTTTGCTAAAAATTTTTTAAAGCTATTATTAATTTGAAAGTTAAATTATTTCAAAGAAATTACTTTGAGGTTTAGTTTTGCTAAATAACTGATACTGGTTTTCAAAGAATAAATATTTTTGGTAATAAGCTTTAGTATTTAAATATTTTAAATAATTGTACATTACGAATAGATTATGCTGCTATTTGTCATAAAGTGTCGCGGTATTCGAAGCGCTACGAAAATAGCCTTGATCTTACCTGATTGTGAGTTACAGCATTTATATTTGCTTTATTCCTCACAAGAATCTTTATTACAGCTATGTGTCCATAAAAACATGCATAGTGCAGTGGAGTAATCTGAAATTCAAAATTTTATTTATGCTTTAGATCTAATATTTGAAAATTTATTAACATAGGCACTTTTAACTTACAATAAGTTTATTGTTCACAGGACAAATTCTTTAAAGCTCAACTTACACTGTATAAATGTTAATAACATTTTAGCGCCACCTTATGTTGACTAATATATGGCGTAGAAAATTTAAATAGGAAGTTTTTGGTATTAAATTCACTAGTTACATGATCTATATTATCAATAGTTAATCTGTTCTGATCTTTACAGTTTGGTTCAACAATAATTTGCCAGTTTCAGAATGATTAAAACCGCCTGTTTAGTGTAATGGGGTTTCCTCTAATCACTGGAGCTGCAGTTCAGTCATTTTTTTTAATGCGTATACTATCTACGAGAAATGTTTAAAAACGTCTGTGTAAATCACAAAAAAAAAAGAGATTTAAAATGCTTGTACATTTTCAATCACTATAGCAGTGATATTTCAAACCAATAGTTGAGCTGTCTCTGCGTCAACTGTGATTGCGAACGACATATTGCTCAAAACTTAATTTTTTTTGCAAAAACTGTGTTAAAATTACAAAAAAATCTCCCTTTTTTTGCTATTAAAATTTTGATCAAATAAATAAATATTACCCCGTGGTTGTTTGGGAAATTAATATAAGCTCCATGTCGGATCAGAAGGTTGACATTGTTAATATGATTGTAACGGCATGCGTAATGTAGTGGAGTTTCCTAAGATCAAGGAAACTTTGATGCAGTTATACACTGTCAAAAAGCAATAATTTTTTTTACGATTTTTCAGCAGTTACTGTAACAGTTTGAAGAGACGAGCTGCATAAAAAAATTTTGCTTATTATAAATAAACTACTCTCACAAAAGAGATTCTTGTAAGAAAAAGAAGTTGCTGTGAAAAAATGTGTAAAAGGAAGAAATTTGCATTTATTTTTCAACTTCAATTTTGTTTGTTCTGCTTACTTCACTTTCTTGCTGTTCTTTTCATTTTCAGTTGCCTTTTTGTATTTCAAGCGTTCATTTATCAAATAAAAATATTCAATAATACCAAGGCAAACTAAAATTTTGTAGAACAAATTTTATTTGCAAAAAGCTATACGAAGCAAAAGGTAAGTACTGCAGAAATACATGTGAAGATGCAAATTTTTGCAAAAAAAATGACTGTATTTTGATTAACATCCCTGATAAATAATTTTTTGATTTTTTTTACCTGGTTGCCGTCTCTGGCATCAACATTTGCACCGTTTTTAAAGAGAAGTTCAGCGATGCCAGTGTCCTCCTGCAGACACGCAACGTGCAGCGGAGTTATCTAAAGTAAAAGAACAATTTATTTGCATTTTCAATAACTGAAACCAACAATGAATTGATAAAGTATGTGATACTTCAGAGTTATTTTTTGGACACACAACAGCTCCATATTGAATCAGAAGTTTAACAACTTCAATTTTTTGAGAACGGCAGGCATAATGTAGTGGCGTTTCCTAAATTTAATAAATTTGAAACAGGAATAAAACTAATATGTTTTATATGTTCAACAACAATAATTTTAAGCGTTACACATTTGTTGTCTTTGTGACTGATAACAGCTCCAGCCTGTTTGAGAAGCTTTATCGTTTTTATGTGACCATTCTTGCACGCGACATGCAATGGCGTTTCCTGAAATCATATTGAATATCATAACTGCTGTGTGGTAAAAGAAGTTAAACTGCACTACCTTATCGTTTTTTTTGAAAGTGGCAGGTTTTGAAAATTTATAAATTAACCTGAATTTTTACTCTCACTTACTTGTATTCAAATGTTTATAATGTTTGATGTTTGATGTTTCAAATGTTTGAAAAAAATGATATCTTTCCATATTTCATAAGCAGCCAGTTTATCGTAAGAAAGCCAAATTTTTTTAAAAAACAATCTCCTAATTAATTCAAAACTCGATGTTCATCTTTCTTTTCTCGGCGCTACTGCAGCAAAATTTATTCATTTTTTAAACTTGATTCCTTTCTGTTACTTGTCTTCAAGATTTGGAAAAGATTTCCTTAACTCCGCTTAGTTTATCTGTGGGAATTTCAAACTTGTTCATCGAAATCTTTCTAATTTTCTGTCGGTCCGCTGTAATTACAACTCCTACGCTGTATCATAATGTTACACCTTGCGATTCAAGTAACTGATAGCTGTTTTTTATCTGCACGCCATACGATTCAGTTCGACGTCAGATTCACTTTTGTATTTCTTTGATAATATATATGTCACTGTAAAAAATAGTGGGCTGTATTTCACAATGTTCACGTCTTAGCAAACTTCATAAGGAGACAAAAATCTGGCAGGAAAAAATTTCTTTACATCCAAAAGACCTGCGTCAACCACAGAAAAAAACTCCTTTGAAGTTTTCAACACAGTTTACGATGGCTTAGACAAGCGTCAGTTTCTACTCAAACTTTTTAAAATCACTGGTGTGTTTACTTCGATACGTTTTTGTTTATTAGATGACCAACAGTTCTTCGGCAAATGAAAAAGGACATCAACAAAAACTAAATCTAGAGCAATTCTCGATAGACTATTTCTAAGTTTCCTCAACAGTATTGAGAGAAACTATGACCGTAAAGCCAATTTGGACTCATGGAACGTATATTACTGAAATACTTTTCTATCACTAAGCTAACTAAGAACCGTACCCTTCTTGATTCTTTTGGCTACAAAAAAGCTTCTAATTTATTTTGAAAATTGAACTACAATTTGAAAGAAATAGGGGTTTTAGAGTATCAAATTTTGAGAATCTGATTGTTGCTGCCATGCTTCTACAAATACTAGACTCAGAACGAGTAGAACGTGAACTGCGCTGTACAACCTGAAGCTAGTCCCCTGCTGGCCTATCCTTAGTGGCGTTGTTTACCTTACTGATCGGACACTACGGTTGGCCCAGGAACAGTATCTTACCTTATCGGTGATAGAACGGTAGCACATCTTGTCGTTCTACTAGAACGAGAAAATAATTCTTAGTTTTTTGTTAAATGCCGTTAGAACGTCACTGTTGCTCTGTCACTCTGCTTTTGTTGTTCTTTTTTTGGTGAAAAGCGACTCGTCATTTTCTATTATTTTTCTATAGTCCTAACTTTTATTGGGTGTTCCCTAAAAAATTCTGTGTGGAAAAAAACATGATTTATTGAATTATTCCATTCTTTTTTCATCACTCGTTTCAAGGACCATTCTTGCTGGTATTTTATTTTGTAAGCCTTTGAAGTATTACCTAATTACAGTAAAAAAGATCTCCATAATCCAACTCATATAGATCAAAAATGTGATGCTGCGTAAACAACCTTCTTGTGGTATTCTTTCCTTTCGCGGTCAAAAATACCTGTTTCTGTTTGTCCAGTTTAATTTTCCGTCTCCGTTACTAGAGTCATACCCATCTCGGAGAGACAAAATTACAAAGTAAAGAGAAGGTTTAGCGAAAGTACCTAGCTCGCAAAGGTCATACCTTAAAGAGCGAGCTCCCTATCAAACCTCGTACGATTTATAGACAATACGTAATTATTTTTTAAAATATATACTGACTTTTCTTACCTCCAATTAATCAATTTTGAAAAACAGAAACTGAGCCTATAACTTTTGATTCTGTAAAGAGTACCTTGGCAAATTTTTAAATTTTGCGTAGCATATAAACTGACACAGGAACTGTTTTTTAATATGTTTTTAATCATTCTTCTAGTTTTTCATTTGCGCATTTTTTAAAATATAACTAAGAGTTTATTTTTGTAAAGGAAGAAAAACAGCTCCAGCAAAATAAATTTTTCATCATCGCTGTGGCTGAGCTAAACTATAAGTTCATGCGCTTCTTTTTTTTTTTCAAATTTCCGGTTTACACCTCCCTCCCTTCCCCTCCTCTCCCCTTTCCTCCCCCTT